CACAAATTACTGTAAATTTACATAAACCAAAACAGAGATGTGTATTAAATTTATTTCAGAAGTTCAGATATATACACTCGAATTGCACATTCAAGAATAATGGAATTGAACTCCCTTTCTGTTCACTTCCTCTCTTGCACACAGAGAGCATTTCATTTTGCAGAGACAGATCCTATTCAGTATCTTTAATAAGACAGACAGTATATTTAAGAAATAAATGCTATAAACACTTGACTAGAGAATTTTAAATAGTTGCCTATATTTCAGATAAATTTAAGACTCCTACATGATGATACATTACAGTAAACCTACAGACTCAGGAGTCAGCAGGAGAACAATTATTTTTTTTTCATCCTCACTGTCACGAATAATATAAAAACCCTGCTCATCTGCCCCGCTCTAACCCCCTCAGTATAAAGCAGAGAAACAGCAAATTTACAGCAAGTTGTTTTTGTATTCAGGACCTTTCTTTCTTACTTTTCTCTGCGGAAAACAGAACTTGAATTTGTCTACCTATTAACCATGAATAATTGTCAATTCCTTGAAAAAATGTATTTCTAAAGATACTCTCCTGAATTCTCATTCTCCCACTCCCCAACTTCTGGCACACAGCCTACTAAAGCTAGTTTGCCAAATCAGCAGATTATTTTAAAACATTGAAGAAAAGATATTTGATCTAAATTTGCATCTCTTAACAAAATTAATTTTTTTTCAAGTAACTTCACAGGAAGCTAGGGGAGGCATTTGTTTTCTTAGGTTTGTATATTTTTCCATGAAGATTCCTCAGACTGACAAACTGGCACATTTAAAGTCATTGTAACACCGCAGTGAAAAAGAACCACTCATTTGTATCTAGGAGACTACTGAAGATACTCCTACTGCAAAAAAACCATCATTCTTCTCTTGGTCTTACTAGTTATTTTCTAATCTTGCTATTTAAATCTCCAAAGACCTGAACAACATAGAACTTAAAAGCCTAATTCTTTTCTTTTGCCACCTGCAAGCAGGAAAGGCTAGACCATCTCACTGTTTTCCACTACACTAACTCCACAGGCACAAGTGATTTCTAGCCCATATCCCAGGCTTCCAGGAAAGCCTGATTCTCTTGACAGTCACCTCATCGTATGCTTCAACCTTTCAAATCACTTTATTCTAGTAATCTGTAAAGTTATCTCTTCTGTCTGTTTATATACACCATCATACACTGTACATGAATGTTTTGCCCTTCTTCAAAGAAAAGTAAAATTATTTCCTGGGCAGTCTTCCACGTTGTCCTAGATGCAGGCTAGGGCTGGCATCCCAGAGCCATGGGGAAAATAAACCTCGAAAGAGTCAGATTTAGGCGTGGAGAGAGAGGTTGTGCGCTTTTTTTGGTGGATGTTTTTTTCCTGTAAAACTGTCAATACATAACTTGGCCATAGAAGATTTAAAAATTTCTGATTTTCCTTTAGCTTCATATGTTCATTTTTTTATGAGGTCTTAGGTTGTGTATGCTGCAACTTCTGTTCAGAATGTAATTTCTGCTATAGAAATGCAGTTTATTGCATCATTTGTTCAAGAATCACTTCATCTCCATGACTAGGATGGCATCAAGCTTCAAGTAAAAGCTTCAAAGCTGAAGTATACCTGGAATTAAGTAACAGAATGCCTCCGATATCAGAGGCTGACAGTAGCCTTGGGAATCAGGTTAAAAATGCCAGAAAAAGACAACTGATGTACCCACTACCAAAACCTACATCATTTATTGCCTAATGCCAAGACTAAAGGCAGGTTTAAAACTAACTGTACTCCATGCTTGCTGCATATGCAGCAGCAGTTTGGTATTTTAGGCTACATCTATGTCACGACCTCTTCAGCAGCCATGAATAAATTATTCCAAATGAAATGCTTGTACAAAAGACATCTGTATGCTCCAGAGCGCAAAGCCGTTAGAGGTTTATACTCCACAACTCAGCACATGCCTCAACACATACATCACATCATGCAAAGACTAGATTTATTGACAGAGGAGTCAAATGAAGACTACTAAATAAAAAACCCACCCTGTCTGGCTCAAGAAGGCCCATAATAGAAGATACTGGACACTGAGATTATACAGTGAAATATGCATGTCTCCTGGCTTTCCCGACTTTCCTAAATCTTCCCTAGGCTTCTGCTTTGGTCACTGCTCAACAAAGAATGCTAGACTTAATAAACCCTTGTTCTGATTAAATATTATTAAATACTATTAAGTATCTGTATTTGCTCATCTGCCATATTTCTGTTACAGTTTTATATATTGTATAGATCTGAAATGAAAAAGGTAAGACCTTCTATGAGACACTAAAACATCATACAGATTTCTTTCTTGGGACTAATGTTTTATGTAACAAATCTGCTACCTTGAAGAATTTCTGCAATTTTGATCTTTCACCTAAACACCAAATACTATGCACACACACAAGCATATATATATATATGTGTGCGTAGTTCTACTTGGAAAGCTGGATGCTCTCCTCTGCAACAAATCTCCCTCTGTGAGCCAGACTCCATGAGGTAACTTGAACATATTTTAAAACTGAAGCGTCATTATTTTATTTTTGTTTAACCAGCTCTTTAGAAAATGAGCTCTCTCTGGTGAATACATTTGATTATGCCTATGTCACAAGTGGCTAAACTACCTTACATGAAAATTGTATCATATTTTCATGTATGCTGGTATTTGAAAACTAAAATTTAAGTAATTACCCTTCTAAAATGCAATCTGAAAAATTAAATGCATATTTGATGTAAAGGCATCTGTACTCCATGACTTAGCTACATCAACCTCAGGAGAAAACATGTATAGTGTATCAATACTACAAGAAAAATACAAGAACCATCACCTTCACTTGCCACAACCACAGTAATCTGAAAGAAAATATTCAAACATTTTAGAATTTTGCATCTCATTATCCTTTACTAAGACTTGTGATTAATCTCCAGTAATTTCTTTTACGAACTAAGTGAAAGCAATTCCTGCGACTCTCACAAAGTCCACTGGCTTCCATATTGTCTTCTTTCACTATCTAATAAAGAAGAGAAAGAATCAGAAATTTTGATCAGTTTTGTTACCCCTGGAAGACTAATAAACCCCATTCTACTCAGCTGTATTACAGACACACATCAGAACAAGCGTGGACAGTGGGAAACTGAGCAGTAAATTCTTACCAAGAGAAAAGCAGATACAAAGGAAGAGAATTGTTCTCTGCAAGCCTATGTTCCACAGCTGCAACAGTGGACGGGGAAACAGAAAGGGAAAGGCATTTAAGCCAACAAACCAAAGTCTCCAATAATGCCAAATTTATTATAGAATGAATAGCACTACTTTTAACCTCATCCAACAGGGAGAAAGAGGCCTGATTTGAAATTTTTTTGAGTTTTACAGAGCCTTCCAGAATAGTGGGAGACAAGATGTTCCAAATAAACAACCATATGACCTCAGGACTATTTTTGATGTGCAACACTAGGCAGAGAAGGTGTCCGAACTGTGATAAGATTGAGAACAGGCACATGATAACAGTTTAAATGAGCTTGTGTCCTGTTATTTCTCCAAGAGGTGTGAAAAACAAAACAACCCCTAGAAAACAAGAGTTTCATGGTTTACTGGAATAGTGTATCATTCAGCTATTGCCTCCCTAAATTCTTTATATGCCCCAGAGGAACAAATGCTCTTTCAGCAGCGCTCTGAAGGCTTAACTAAAGGTTATGCCATTTTGGACCGACAAGTAACTCTCTAGCTGGTGAGTGACCAGCTGCCTTTTTACTTACGTAAGCTAAGGAACTTGCCAGCACTAGAACTCAAATGCCCTTTTGCTGCTTTTAAGTCTTCTGCATTGAGAACTTGTGTTGGAAACAGTTAATCCTTTCAACAGTGCAGTCTAGGACAAATAGACGATTCTTCTCTGTTGTGTGTCACTATGGAAGTTTAAGGACAGTGTTCTTTAAGAAAGACTATTAATCCACTTGTACCAGGAACAGAGAAGTGACAATCAGATCAGTTTACCACCCTAAATGCTGTGGGTTTTAGGCAGAAATGATAAGGTAAGAGTTTAAGTACAGACTGGGCTACAAAGAACAACCAAGGAGAATGCCAATACCTCAACTACTGGAATATATTCTTAGTAAAGCAGAACTTAACTTCGTGGAGACAATTAGCCAGCTGTCCGAATAAAACAGTGAATTTAATTTGATAAAATCTTTGGCATATTTATGGGATTCTTATTTTCAAATAAGAATCAAGGAGAGGTCCTCTTAATTCACTTTGAATTATTAAGACAAGACTATTATACCATCACCAATTAGCATAACTGAACTTTTTTCCTCTCAACAAGCCACACAGCTAAGTCTGATGACAATGTAACTTATTTCAATTTCTTCACAGTCACATACATCTGCCAGCTTGCCAAATCAGCACCATCAGTGAAATGTCACATGTACAACACTTGGCTGATAACGTTTCATGATTTATAAAACTCTGACTCACACACAATGATAGATTTTTAAGAAGTCAGACAAGTGAACCAGCCCACTTTTCCCCATGCAACAGAGGTTACCACCCCTAGAGCAGGACAGCAAAGAAGCCAAGTACTACCAGAATTTTCAGATAGCTCCCTAAAATAAATTGAAAACAAAATAATAGATTCCAGCAAAATTTTACAAATTCTTGTGCCAACTCTCTTCAGTATAGTGCAATATGAGGAAAGCCACTAAAAGTAATTTATCTGTGCATATGCATTTTGAGAAAATCCAAAATACTTCACAGTATCAGTCTTCAGTAATGAATCTCAAAGTACAAACCAATCTACAAAGTACAAACCAGGCCATGAAGGAGCATCTTTTATGTTAAACAGTGATTTAGATTAGTAATTTAAAATTAAATAGCTATGTAGTATCTAGAAATTACACTTCCAGTAGGTTCTCTGTACAGTGATTGGCGATTTGCCTCTTAGTTACCCAATATAATAAGTGAAGTGACTTACCATTCTTGCTGACATCCAGTTCCCTGAGATTAATGAGATTTGCAATGGATGCTGGCAATGTGGTTAGATCATTGTCTGGCAAACTCAGCTTATGCAGAGACTGACAGTTAAAAAGTTGCTATTGAAACAAAGAAAAAAGTGAATACAATTTTCTGTTAGTTTCCTCTATATAGCTTTTGATTTTAATCCCTTTAAACTTCTGACCTCACAACTTGAAGGCCAGTCTGTTTAGAGTCTTTGATTATAAAAACTTTATTTAGTTAGTTTTATTCAAAATTGACTAAGTACACAATGCTTAGGAAAGCAAAAAATTGCCAATGGTCACAAGTCAAAAGTTACGCTTAACAATTCCTAAAAACTCGTTCCAGTATCTCAGAAATTGTGACCTGAAGTTACACATAATCTTGCAAGCATCACAAAGTATTTTCCATAATAGATATGACATGTGATATCCCAGAAGTAATTACTATTTCTTAAAAAAAAAGAAAAAAAAAAGGGTAGATGCATTTTTTAAAGTCAAATAGTTCTGGAACACAGGATTTAGTTAGGTATTCATCTCTAAACATTTTACTTTATTCCACTACATCTTGCAATATTTTTTCCCTTTCATGTTTCTTAGCTCAAATACACAAAAATCCAACAAAATTACGATAAAAACTAGTGTGAGTTTGATCAAAGGATACAGAAAACTGTAAAACTTCTCCTGTATACATGCATTATAATTTGTAACAAGTATTAGCTGAGAGTCAGATCTCTTCCTATATGCAAAGTATCTTGAGATTCTTACCCAAAAGCTTTACAAATTGACAAAATATGGAAAGTAACATTAGTGAGAAAGAAGAAAAAATCCTCAAATGATATGTAGGAAGCTTACAGAGAGCACAAAGTAAATACCCCTAAAGAAGTGGTTAAAAAAGGTTCATCTGAACAATTTACGATGAATATTCCATTTTTTTACTATTCTGGATAAGATCATTCATTAATATCTGGACTTAGTGTTCTTTTCTTTTGGAATTCTGAGAAAAGATTATACAAATCCAGGAAGTGTTCTATGACTGAAAAAAAATATCCCAGTCAACATCATAGCAATGGGCTTATTAGTTCAATCAAAATTTCCTGGTTCTCTCTCAATTACCAGCCCATTATTTCAACCGCAGATCACTGAACAGGACTCATTCACACAATATTCGCAAATACCACCTCAGAACAAAAGCAGACATAAATTAGCAAGGTGGACAGTTCAAGGAATGAGTTTGAACTTGCCTGCTTATGTTTCCAGTTCCTCAGAAATGTGCAGCTGTTAGAACTAGTTGGTATCATTAAGGCTTTGAAGAGTTACAAGTTATTTAAGACATTGTATGGGAAGGAGAACTTCAATGAGTTAATGTGTTTTGGAGTTATTCCTTTATTTCAGTACTTCAGGCAAAAATATATACTTAAAACTCATCCTTGAAAACAATAATACGGACTCTTGGAATCGTTAGAAATTTACTCAATTAGTCAGGTGAATGCAAACGCAGCACACAGAACTCCAAGATCCCTAATGGAAAATGGGGGAGAGAGGAGTTCTGTATGGCGCTTAGTTCATAGTTATTCCTTTTGTTGTTTTTTTTTCTAACGTTTGCATATTCAGTAGATCATCACTGCTGTTCGTAAACACCAAACTTATGTAATTAAGGGCTATTTTACTACCAAATTCCAATTCCTTTCCAACAGTAAAGTGAGAAGGAAAGCTAGAACTGCTACAGTTCAAGCTTTTCAGTAAAAAAGCACACCATGGCACTTGGGATAAACAGGGTACCTTTCCAAGATATGATTTAGCACAAAGGATGAAAGCATTTCAAAAGCCCGGTCAATGCTGAAACTGAGAAAACACACTAGGAGTACAGCTTTATGTAAAGCGAAGTCCTTCTGTACAACCATCTTTCTTGCCATTGCAGTTTGCTCATGTTGAGCCTTTGTGCAGTAAACTACGTTAAGGCGCTATACTGTAAGAACTGATTTCCGAACTATGATGAAGGTCTGAAAAGATGGGAGGCAAAAAAAATCACCCAAAACTCCCTACACACAGACAGACTGAAGAAATTGCTTATATTCTCAAAAATAATCCTGTAAGCATGACTTATTGTAATGTGCAAACACATAAACATGAAGTGTAGGCTACTGCAGGTTGCTGCAGTTCAGCAGAGAAAAGCAAGAAAGAACAACACATAACTGTTCAAGTAGTCTTTCTAATTGTGTAGATAATTTAATCTTAGACTAGACCAAGGCAAGTGGTAGACTTCCCACTTCTCACTTAACTGATGTATCAAAATTGGATTTCATATATGAACTGCCTAATGAAATAAAATGGCATCTAACACTAAGACAAAAGCAGACTAACCGCTTTTTCTAGTCTAAAATGCAAAACATTCATCCATTTGATCATTACAACAAAGTCTTTCTCACTCTTTAAAGATTAATAAAAGGAATTTTTAGAGAAGATGTTTGTTTAGTTCTCACAATTTATAAAAATCAGAATTTAATGTAAGAAGAGTTACTTAGGCATTCAACTTTACTCTTCTCCTATGAAAAATATAAGAAAGGAATAAAGTTCTGAAATAATCTGAAAAAACTCAAACTGATATAAAAAGTCTTTAAGAGTAAGTTACTGAAGCCTGAACTGACTAACTCTAGGGTAAAGAAATATCTGTTTGGGAAGAGACCAGAATAAAATAGTCGAAGTTTCAAGTATAACAGAATTTAGCAAAATGTCTACTTTTAACTTACATGTTATTTTATTCAAGAGACAAACACATTTTCATTGTGTGAAAGCCAGTGAGATGGTTTCTCAAGAGCATTTAAGGTTGGATTTTCAAAAGCACTCAGCTGGTTTAAGTCAGCTTTACTGGAATCCAGGTCTACTATCACAAAATTGTTTAATTTCCTTATTTGACCATCTTTTCGAAAATTCAAAGCAGCAAAATCTGAAGGGGTTATAGCAAACATTCTAAAAACCTAGCAAGGCATTCTATAGTTGTCCTGCACAACAGTGAAGATTTGCACACAATTGCGACCAACCAGTTTTAAATATTAAGTCTTTCAACAAACTAGGTTTTTAATTTTATAAAGATAGTACTTAGCAATGGAAACAAGTGTATTGTAGCGATCACTTTGTACTTCTCAAAAGTCTCAGAAAAATTTTCACTTCTTCCTCCAGTAAACTGCTAATTCAGCATGCAATCTGTCTTCATATTTTCAAAAAACAACAAATACTAACTTCCATTATAAAGATGTAATCAAAGCGGCATTCCAGTTCTCTAGCTTTTGAATTTAAGTAATCTGAGATACTTCAGAAAGTCTCATCACCAAAGTAGAAAGCAGGACTTCAAATGAACAGATATTTTGGACTGTAGCTATCTTCTGTGGGCACAGAGATCTGAAGACATTAATCTTGCTTCTTCTAATCTTCATGTGTTATCAGAGATTCAAAATAATGCCGCAATTTGTCGAGTACAGTTAGGCAGTTTGAACAGACATTGCCACAGAAATAAATTAGCCTGACTTTTCTGCTATGTACATGTCTTGGGCTAGATCAGTTGCTTAAGTGTTTTCATCCCAATTCATGCAGAAAACTAGACAAGCTGGAACACATAAACATTCCTTCTGTCAGGGCTGCTTCTTCTGGGGCCAACGTTTATTTAAAAATACTTGGCAAACTGCAGTCTTAAAGCTGAACTGGGAAACTAGACACTATCATCTTCTACAACCATGAAGTAATAGAGTTAATAGATGTAAATAAAAGGAAACCCTGCCAACATACCTTTGGAAGCTCTTCAATCTGATTAGCATCTAAATAGAGTTCTTCCAAGGTCTTTTCAAAAGTAAAAATCTCCTTAGGCACCTGTTCCAGGCTGCAGTGAGAATAATCAAGTGTAGTGACTGTTTCCTCCTCTCCACGCAGACAGCGGCATGGCACCAGCCGCACAAACAGATTCCGCTTTGTGGTCATTTTCAGGCACTGTAAAACAGAAATTGGTCTATTTAAAACTGTAGAAATACTCACGTGGGCAGCTTCTCAAACTTCCACTGGCTGCCAAACACTTAAAAAGAAAGAAGTATATGTATATCTGCATATATGTGTATGTGTACCTACATGAGAAAGAGCCAAGAGAGAGACTATTTTCTCTTAAACACAGCAGATCTGTAGTGGTATTAAACGGGGTTAACACACCTACAGACCAGAGAAGGTGAAGTCAAAATTTAAGCTGTAACTTGTCACCTGCTAACAGAGCTCTGCATTGCAGAGAAGTATTCTTAAGAAGCAGTTTTAAAATGTCAATTGTGATAGCATATCCCTACCTTTACAAAAGTTACCAGGATAGTATTTTTGCTAAATATAATAAAACCACCTTCTACAGAGCATTAAAATGCAGCTATAAGGAAGACTTTTTTTGGTGATTAATAAGATTAACATACCTTAATTTCAATTTTAAACAGAGAATACAGTAAAAATAACCAGCACAGTTTCTACCAATCATTTTATCTAGTTTAAATGGAAAGGTTTCCAAGTGTACAGATTAAGAAGTAACTTGGTTTTGCAACTCCAGAAAACTTCAACACATGATGTTGCACACACTGGAACTACGGAAACTTTACCTTGCTACGGAAATGTATCTTTCTTCCTTTAAACTCAAGCATTGCTACAACAGTACCCTCTACTCTCCATGGCTTCTACAATATTCCTAGTCAGCAGAAGAAAGCACATCCAGATGGTGCAAAGTAACTAGCTGATCATGGACCGTATACACATTCTGCCTCTTTCCTCCTTGGCAAGAGCACAAGTTTAGGTCTCTTTCCTCTAATAAGCAAAAAATTTTCACCAAAATCAGGAAAAATCATCTTCAACATGTCACCTTAAGTTTCAAGTTTGGCTGAAATCAGGATAGACTCAACAATTTTCCAGGAAGAACCAGTATGTGCACAGACAACATGGTCATGTAAACTTAATTTCTTGGGGAAATTAACCTAAAAATATACACTTTTCTAGAACAGCACTGAATATTTATTTTCTCTATCAAACTATCAACTCCAAATTAAAATACACTTTTTAAAAAATTCTACATTTTTTCAAATTGTAGAAATCATATTTCTCTTTCTCAATCAGTAACAGGAAGCTTTCTTTTCCAAGTGCCAAAGAAGTCTTCCAGACACAATTAGCAGACTGCATTTCAACGTTCAGACAGTATGTCAGTAATATCAGTATAAAATAAAATACCACTGCCAATGGTGAAACCCCTCTTCCTATAAGGCGAGGAAAAAAGTCACACACTTGGATTTTCATCTATAAGCAGTTAGCTTGCCAAGTACTTCACAGGATGTTTACTTTACATGACAACAGGTCAAGGGACTGATGGACTTCAGTGTTTTCACTAAACAAAAATACAGCTTACCAGTCAGGCTGGATACAAATAGTCAGATTCTACATGCCTCCATTAAAGACAGATGGAAACTCTTCATTAGAATAGTGAGATGGCAAGAATTTAACAATGCTTCAATATTGGTAGGAGTTTCTGATTATCTATGGGAGCACTTCCAGTAAAACTCCAGTCATTTTATTTAGAAGTAATCTAAAAATAAAAATGTATCACTGTATGGCAATCCAAAGGGTTTAGAAACTGAAAACTCCAAGCTGGGGATTTCCACAGAATGGGTAAGTCAGCAAAAAATACAGTATAATCTCCTCCTGCTTCAGCCACAGAACAGGTTCCAGCATGACATCCTCCAAGCACCCACAGTCAGATACTAAGGATGCTATGGAAGCTGATGTGCTCACTGGGTCAGAGCCACCCTGTTTTTTCCAAGCCTCAGAGGCCATACGTGAAGACACAAGAGGAATTCCCCAGTCAACATTTACAAAGGAAAAAGGCTTTAACAAAAATATCTTTTTTTTTTTTACTACTTCACAGTCTGTAGAGCTGTGGAAAAACACACTACCTGAAAAAGAAGCACCACAAGCAGTCTCTTCAGACAGGATTATTAACAGTAAAAATACAAGCCCTGGGAAAAAACAAGGACTGGAAGCAGAGACTCAACGTGCAAGCCGATTACTAGATGATCTTTTGAGGTCCCTTCCAGCCCCTAACATTCTGTGATTCTGTGATTACCAGAAGTCTGGCAGGGGAAGACACATTTATACCAGCTGCAGCCATCAATAAGTTTACTTTGCCCAGTCATTCTAACCTCTGAGAATTATGTTTTCATTTCCAGAATATAAACAGTTCACTACACGGTTCATATCAAGAATTAAGATAATACTTTTTCATTCAAATCCCTCAAATAGAGCACACATTATACATTTTGCCTCCACTTTTTCACACCTAGTCTTATGTAGGGCTCAAAAGTTTCTGAAGGAACAAAACTGATAAGGCCTAATAATGCAAAACACACATACCTAGTTTTACTAACTTATTTATTTTGTAAGGGAGATCTTCAGCTTTTGGGGGTGGATAGGAAGGAAGAAGTTTTTTAAAATATCACATACATCCGTAACGCTGTAAACACAGACCAGTAAACAAACGTCTGACAACATCACAGTGTTGGGTCATGCCTACAGTCACATATGTCACTTGAAGTACCTAAACTCACAGCTCACATCTCAAGCCAAAATAGTCACACCGATATTTAAGCAATGACTTGACCAGCTTGGGAGTACATTTATTTACAAAGCCTCAAGAATCAGAATGAACTGAGAGCTTCTAAACATATATCAAGAAATGCTTAGCACTTGTGTTCTGCAACAGAGATGGCTGCCAATACTAGAAAACGGGTGCAGCAGTGTAGTTGCAGCAAGTATTCCACACCACTACTTTTCTGCATTATATATTTTTATATATACACAATCAGACACACACACCCTCCCTGTCTGCCTGTCTTTTCATCTATCTTGTGGTCAGTCGCCCAAGCAGAAAAACTGTAATGGAGGAAAGGATGTACTACAGAAGAGAGTCCACTGCTATAATTACCAGAGACAAGAAAATGTGATATCACACATAACGTGCTTTTCTTACAGTGCTCTAAATAAGAGCTTCTCCAGGCATAGTTTGCATAAATTCACATGAAGTATAGCACTGTTTCCCCTGCCACAAAAGAGGGAAATCTAGCAAGCAGAAAAATCTTTGTTTCATAACATAACACAGTATCAGATCATCTGAGGACATCAAATGAAACAATGTAAAACTACTTTGCAGATCTACCACACTGTGATGTCTTATTTTTCTCCAACACTTTAACAACTCCAGATTTGTATAAGGCAGAACTAAAAAACTTGGAGAGGGGAAAGGAAGCACAAAACTCCCTTGATTCCCTAAACCATTAAAGCCTTGACATAAGTTTACCTGAGATTCAGTATTCAGAGTCAACAGAAGAAAAGTTAAGATCTTCCTATAGTAGCTTCTTTTTTTTTTTTACTTCTTGAAGGAGTAAGGCAGGAAAAACATCACTCTTTAATCAGCTTTCCTTTGTAATCTCCAAAGCCTCAAGAGCTGGAAGGTATATGGGAGAATTAGCTGTGTTCTGTCTACAAAGTCAACCTACCACCCCAAAAAATTCAGTGTTAAAAAATATCTAGTTTAAATTGATGTTTGCTAATTATAAACCATTACTTTTCTGATCACATTTTTTATGCTCTATTAGCATTTCTCACACTTCCTCTTCCATGCTGATTTGAGGATCACATCTAAGGATCAGAGATGCTATCGTATCTGTCATCATAATCATCATCACGGCTTGGCTTCGCGAACGAAGATATGGGAAGGG